CGGAGCCCGCACTCTCTCACGGCCCCGCCTGTGCCCTCTCCTCGCAGGTCCACACCACCGACTTCCCCGGAAACTACCCCGGCTACGACGACGCCTGGGACCAGCAGCGCTTCGAGGAGGTGGGTGAGCTGCGCCGGCGGCCGCGGTGGGTGTGCGGGGAGATGCGGGTTCTGGCGGGCTGTAGGTGGAGTTGCTGTTTGGGATGCGGGTTCTGGCAGGGCTGTGCGTGATGTGCGGGCGAAGATGGCGGTTTGCCGGGAGCTGTAGGTGGATATGCCGGGTGATGCGGGCCCCGCGGCCGGCGTGACCCGCGGTGCGCGGCTCCTGCAGGCGTTCCGCGTGGACGTGATCCGTGAGGAGGGGGACTCGCTGGAGTTCGACATGGTGGGCATCGACGCCGCCATCGCCAACGCCTTCCGCCGCATCCTGCTCGCCGAGGTACCGCTGCTTGCGGGGGTGCTCGCCTGGGAGTGCCAGCTTACGACTTGCGTGATGGGGAGCGGGGAAGATCCAGCCTTTGTGGATAGCTGCAGGGTTTGGAAGAGAAGGACACGTTCATTCCGCATGTGTGCCAGGAACCCAGAAGAGAGGGCTTAGCAGCATGGGCAATGCCGCCTGTTGCACTTAAGGGTGCTGCTGGTGGTGTCTATGGGTCAGCCTTTTGGACACAGCTGTGTTGCAAACCAAACAGAAGCCACATAATGCTACCAAATACTAAATGGTTGATGATGCCTCAAAGCCCTTTCTCCTGCCCTTCACCTCTTGTCATTGATTGTTTAAAAAAAATAGGGAAGGGGTATATGGGATGTAAGGGTATATTGGGTCCTCTGGCTTGGCAGAAATACCTCTGAAAATAGCCTGCATGGCAGTTATTTGTGGGAGAGGAGGGACGCTCTAGCTGGCTAATCTGTTGTCATGTAGTTCAACTGTGGTCTTGTACTGACTTGATCTCTTGTCTCCCTGAGGTGCCAACGATGGCTGTAGAGAAAGTCTTTGTGTACAACAACACATCCATTGTGCAGGATGAAATTCTGGCTCATCGGTTGGGCCTCATCCCAATCCGAGCTGACCCTCGGCTCTTTGAGTATAGAAACCAAGGTGAGAGTCTTGGATTAAATAGAAATTTTGAAAGTTTCCCTCAAAGTAGGAAATCAGGTCATGTGAACTGAGCAGAAGTGTGATTTCATAGAGGCTCATGGGGTTCTTCCCTTCCCAGGAGATCAAGAAGGCACAGAAATTGATACTCTGCAGTTTCAGCTGAAAATAAAATGCAGCCGAAACCCTCAGGCAGCTAAGGAATCATCTGATCCTGATGAACTATATTGCAATCACAAAGGTGAGATCTTTCTTAAAAATAGGTGCTGTTTTCTTTGTTTTTTTGGTCTTGAAAGACAGGATTTGGGCTGTTCTCCTGTGCGCCCTGTGTGTGCACAGGGAGAGAGCTGATACCATTCTGCTCAACTTTTTGCCATCTCCAGTCCTGTACAGATCAGTGACCTGCTTTGAGACAGCAGCTGGCTGATGCTTGTGGCTTCTCTTTGCAGTGTACAGTAAACATATGACATGGGTGCCCTTGGGGAATCAGACAGACCTTTTTCCGGATGCTGACTTCCGACCTGTTCATGATGATATCCTCATTGCATTGTTGCGACCTGGACAGGAAATAGATGTGCTTATGCACTGTGTCAAGGGTATAGGTGAGTCCTGGGGCAGAAGGAGCAGGAATGTAAGTGCTTGGACTAGGGCACTGCTGTGTGAAGGGGAAGGGTGGAGAACTGGCTTTCCCCCTGGAATTTTAGGCCCTGGCATCCTTGCACTCTTGTTCCCTGAGGCCTGTTCTCATCCTCAACTCTTAACTCTTCTTGCAGGTAAAGATCATGCCAAGTTTTCTCCTGTGGCAACGGCCAGTTATCGACTGCTTCCTGACATTACTCTCCTGAAGCCTATTGAGGATGAGGCAGCTGAGACATTGCAGAAGTGCTTTTCCCCTGGAGTCATTGAGATCCAGAATATCAAGGGTACTTCTTTTTTGCTCTAAGTGCTTTGATCCTTACAAGCTTTGGTTGAGACCGATTCAAGATTAGAGATAAACTTTGTAGTGACAAAAGCATGTTGTGGTGTTGCCTTGCCGGTCAGCAACAGCTCATACTCTTCTGAGCCTGGTTTTATGGATGAGTGACTGCCACATGCAGATGTGTGGGGTGCTGAACTGGGATCTCCCTGAAATGCTAAGGCATTGGATATGTGTCAGACTGAGAAGTGAGCTTGCTCCTTCCAAGCAGCTGAGTGTGGAGAAGGCTTCCTGTGTCCTGCCTAGGGGTACATGCAGGCTTTGCGTTTGGGTTAGTATTCCAATCCACTTAGATGCAGAGGGGAACCAGGTTCTAAAACATTCCCATAAACGGGATTAAGGCACAAACCAAGCCAGATGCTGGGTCTCAAAATGATAATTCGACTTTATTTTGTAACACAAAAGAGCAGAGAGAAAGAAGGAAGATAAAAAAGTGGGAAAAGCTGAGGGTAACTGTTAAAAGCACAGGACAGGAGTTACCACCACCATGAAGTTCTGCTGGCTTGCAAGCTGGTAGATCTGTGCTGGGCTTCTTCCCTGGTCGCCTTGTATCCTCCGAGGAATTAGCTGAACCGACAGGGTAACGGAGTGGCAGCAGCTCCCGCAGCACTCCTCAAACAGCCCCCCAGCAGTCCCCAGGCACGGCCTTAAATACCCTCGCAGTGGTAGCCCCTGGATATCCATTGGCCACTTCACTGGTATCCCAGCAAAGGTCGCCTGGTAGCAAGATGGACCCTGAGAGTCCATTGGCTGGTTCCCTATCTCCAAGGAAGATGCACCTGGCATACCTTATTTGGGAGAGTCCTTCCCATGTTTTTTGACTGTAACGACTTTCTGTCTTTTTTGCTCATCTGCCCGCCTCTGCTACCTTGCTAGGTGCCTCCTGGAGCTTTTTCAAGTAGCTTGGCTCCTGCAGCAGCCTAGCTGTGGCATCAAGGCTTTTTAACTCCATGCTCAAGACAGTGGTGAAGCAGACTCCATCTTGTAATCAGTCCACTACAGTTAGTTCTGCCTGGCTTGAGTTTCATTTTGGGTATATGCCAGTTCTTTCAGGTGGTGGCATCCCTGCCTTTGCTGATGGGGGAGTGAGTACCTGTTTGAGGGGTAAGCACCTGTGTGACCACAAGGCACCCATCTGCTGCAATTTGCCCGCCTCATTTCATCTTTTTCCCTTTAGGGAAAAAGGTGGCAAGAGTCGCCAATGCACGGCTGGACACATTCAGCAGAGAAGTTTTCCGTCATGAGGGTCTGAAAAACCTTGTGCGCCTGGCAAGAGTACGAAACCATTACATCTGTAAGTGTCCTGTTCCCCACAGAGCCCTGCCTGGTTTGTATAAACAAGAAGAGAATGGCCAGCATGTATGGCTGGGTTTCTGCCTCCTCCCACCCCCTCATCAGCATTCATACATTCATATTCCAGTGGGTAACTACTGAGGTTGTGGTTTGGTGTTGCTTTGGGATTGAATCTCTTTGTGCTTCCTGCTGGCAAATGTA